TAGGATTCGTAGCTTATTTCCTAACATTGTGCGGAAGTGGCGTTGGCGGGCGTCGGGCACGATATGTCTCCTGTTACGGCGGACACTGTACAAAAGGGACTTTTGGATTTTTTTTTACTGTTCGTATTACCTATTGCCACTACCTCCACGAATCTCCTACCTAAATATAGTAAATAGTTGCTATGGCTGTACTAGATGAGAATTTGATATCAATACTGGATGATATTCGATATCGATACCAGATAGCATTCAATATCGATACTGGATGGCATTTAATATCTTATAGTCAAGTTATAAGACAATAATCATCTCTATTATTCCCACCGCGTACTACAAGCAGTTTGCAGAACAGGCCGGCTGTGGCCCATCCACATCTGCCGGATCCAAGCACAAGACGACCTTTGACTGTCTTGCTGTCGCGCCTAGTGAGAGACTGCAAAATGCCAGCGAAAATGTCTCCGAGTCTGGACTCGTTGGCACCTATACCTTCCAATTGACAGCAAATGAGGAAGCCAAGCAGATGAAGACTGGTATTTCAGAAGGTAAAGATGTCGGTACCTCGTAGTTCTAATCTGACAGCATATATTATTTCCATGTATATCATACTTCGCTGTACTATGTAGACTTCACAGCTTTGCCGAAATGCATTCTGCCCTGCCACCTGCGCAGTCGCTGTCCAAACAGCTGTAGCACCACCATGAAGAACAGCGACCCGAACGTAATAGCTGCTTGGATGCCCAGTGCCTTGGCCGGACCCATGCCGCTGACCCAGTCGATCTGGATGTACGTAGCCATGAACCCTCCCCAGTTGCGACTAGCTGTCACCCACGCGCCCACCTCGCCAGATCCCTCGGGGTAGCAGTCGAGTAGGTATGCGTTGATGGCGGTCGTGATGATCATCATGCTGCTGCATTGCATGGCTGCGAAGACCGCAATGACCATGTAATGCCAGTGGCGCTCAAAGGCGAACCCGAGCACAATCAGACTGACGCAGCAGAGGATAGTGGCGGGATAGACGATGATCAGGCGTGCCTCGGGGTGCAGACGGCCTTGGTGTCGATTCATATAAAAGGTCCCCACTGCATCGTGGAGGTAGTGGCCCATCAGCCAGCCGATAATGACACCAACAATCCCGAAGAAGTAGAAGTAGCCTGTCACAGATCAGTATCTCAAATGAGCGAAAGTCAATGGCATAGATGATATACCGATGCCGCGAGTAGAAAACCCGTAGTCATTGCTCAGCCAGATCCCGATGGTCGTGTTGACTCCAATCACCCAGGCGAAGTTGAGCAGGTAGTAGATCAAGATAATCAGAACAGGAATTCTCGTAATGGCCACGATAGGCCGCATTACGCACTGGAGGAAGCTCCGCTCCCGCCACAGCTGCGCTTGCTGGGCTCCCGTGAGACGGGCGATATATGACCCTCTCGGGATCTGACGGCCTTTGCGATCAAACAGGGTTTCATCGAGAAAGAAGACGAGCAGAAAGGCCACGGCTGACATGCAGGTGCACAACCAAAAGGCCCAGCGCCAGGACACGTCGGTGACAATGAAGCAGGTCAGCAGCGGGCCAAGGTAGGGGCTCATGATGATGAAGAACTCGATGTAGTTGATGACCTTGGGGTGTTCATGGAAGAAGAACAGGTCTTTGATCCAGAGCAACGCGCCTCCCTGGCCAACACTGCAGAAGAGCCCGTTGATGATCCGCGCCGCCATGTAGGACTCGAAGCTGGTGGCTGCCGCGGACCAGGCACATGTCCCGACCATGACTGCTTGAAAGATCAGAAGAACAGGCATGCGACCGAAGAAGCCTGCCAGTATCACTACAATAATACCACACGACCCGATGGTAAACAGGTTGCCTACGACGGCTCGTTGGACCGTGGCCTGGGACAGATTCCACTCTCTGACCACTGATCAGCAGATTTCTTTGCTTTTGATGTATGAAACCCTACATGGACTGAGGAATGACGGTGATTATCGCAGTCCCACCGGTATAGTCCGCCAGAAATGCGATATACGCCATGATCCAGACAATCAGCCATTTCTTGCGCGAGCTCCAATTCAACGGATCATCGGGGGTGTCCAACGGTTGCGGAATGAGAACATAGCGGCCATCTGGAGTCGTTTTCAGGCCGGCAGCGTTGTTAGGATATCGGCTGGGGTCAACGACATATCCTTCCAGGGCTTCTTCATCCTCGTCGATCCCAGCCATAGTGATTTGTACGGGGGGTTTGTCGTCCATCGTGACAGGCCGCTGCCAATTATTCGCCGACCTCAGGTGCAATTGATCTGAGGAGAGATATGAAAATGTGCAAAAGGTATTTAAACGTTTCTGGAAAATGTTCGACTACAATAGACGCTGCGAAAAACGGACAATTCTTTAATTTATCCCGATGAACAGGGAACATGACCTGTTCTGTGTGCAGTCCACTATATAAGATCCCTGCAGCAGGTAGCAAAATATATCAGCTCTCGTCTCGAATCGGGTATGGATTTACGGACAGTTATCCGGGAAATACTGATTCTTTAAGAGGGCACGAGAAACAGTAGATACAAATGAGGTACAATCCCCTGCATCTGGTAAGAATCTAGACAGGGATCAGAAATTAATGCATCGTGGGTCAAAAGGACGGCGGAATCACCAGAAACAGGCTTTGCAGATGAAGGGACAAGGAAGCTGGCTGTGATCTTACCACCGTAGCATTCGCTTGGCCCAGAATTGATAGCAGTCACGTACTTGAGGGTCCCACCGACCTCTTAGGAGTCAAGCTCAATTAAGAAGTTGGCGTTGCTTTGCCCAGACGTAGCCATTGCTAGTTACTATACCCTAATGACAGGGATGCGACAGGGGACTTTCCCGCGGATGCATGACAGTCCACTTCGAACTCGCAGAGGGGTCGGTTTTACATGTTCTATTGGTCGTTTAATTTCAATCCATGGCCTCAACAGATATACGGCACAGTCATGTTACATGTGAAACTCATAGGTAGCATAGGTAGTCCAGGATTAACAAGAAACTGGTCTCCGGTCCCTGTTCACTATCCCTGTACAGGATGTCAGAAGAAATTGACTGGGGATTCAGACACCTTAGGAGACTCAGCTTGCTGGGCTACAAAATCTCTGCGACTGAAGTTACCATGTACTCTGCTGTGTTTTCATCTACGTGCAAGGACAGCTCAGGCTCACTATGGCGGCCGCATACGGAGGACGCGGTCCTGTCTTGCTTGGAGTGACCTGGGCAGAAACAGCGCTGGCTCTGATTCTGTTCGGGTTACGTGCAAAGACAGCGTCCCTGTGTCCACCAGAGGACGCTACGTTTGGGTTCTGCGGTCTGCGATGGGATTTTATCTGGGTGATGTTCGCTTATGTATACCGGACCGCCCACGGTTGATGGGGATACGTACTGATATACGGCAGGCGCTTGCCTTTGCGGCTCAGTGCATCATGACGGTGAGTGTCTCACACGGCCTCGGATTGCATCAGGATGAGCTCTCGCACCAGCAGATTGTTGCCAGCAACTACTGGAGCTGGATTGCCCAAGTCCTGGCCATTCTTGATCTGGCAATCGCGCGGTGTGCTGTGATCGCTTTTCTTCTGGCTTTGCAAATGAATACCCACCCTAAAGGTCGCTGGGCGCTGCTCACGGTGGGTGCCCTGCAGGGGCTGATCAATGTGGCCGAAATCGGGGTCATCTTCCATCAGTGTGATCCCCCTCAGCGACTGTGGGATACGGATGTTCCAGGGACATGCAGTCTGATTGAGATCTGTTTGTATATCGGATACGCCCAGGGTGGTATGTTCCCTCTTCATCTCATAAGAAGGCAAAAAGTATTGATGGAGGCAGGAATTGGTGCGGCCGCGGACATTTTCTTGGCCTGTTATCCGGTCTATATCATCGGACGACTTCAGCAGATGAGGCTCTCCGTCAAGGTTGGACTCTGCCTCTTAATGAGTGGAGGTATCATGTCAGTACTTGCCTCTTCCTGACATTCACATCTTCTTCTGCTAATGTCAATGTCTCTAATAGAGCAGGAATAGCCGGGATCAACAAGACAGTCGCCATATCCACCATCGTCGAAACCGCTGACCAGACGTACGCCATCGCCAAGCTAAACACCTGGGTTCTGACGGAGATGTGGTTTATTCTGATCTTTGGATCCATTCCTGTCCTGCGCCCCTTCTTCGTGCGATTCTCTCAGAGCATCAAGACTGTCGCGGGATACTCGAGTTCGCGTAGCCGAACTCATCCTGACGGCGATCGTAGTGGGAGTCGTCCCAACGACGAAATATGGATAAATATCGATGGTCAACAGCACAGTCCCTGGATGGCTAATGGACCTCGTATAAAGAAGGGCGTGTCCGTGGGGATACATGGAGGTAGCCAGGAGGATATTCTGTCCACGGCGTATCCTAACCAGATCGTCGTCACGAGGAAAACTACGGTGATGGAGGAGTCTCGCTAGTGGTCTTATCAATATATCAATATCTTCCTTTATTCTTCTGTATGATATCAGCGTCTCCCCGGCTTTCAATAGAGTTCTTTCAGAGTGTTCCACCAGCTTCTTCTTCATAGAGGTAACGCCTCTCAAGTATCAATATTATCGAGGCAGCTCAACCGCAATTACCTCATCACAGTAAATTCATACATTATACCTCGGTATTGCTTCATCTAACTGGTACTCTCGTTCCAAAGTCTCCCTGACTCCACCAGAATGGCATAAACACACTAGTTTGGACGGATTGAAGCACCCCTGTCTGGCGCCTTTCTAGTACACCCACTGTCATTTCCTCTCCGTCCAAACATCGTTCATCAAGTGGACCTTGACCGTGCCGCAATTCCATTGTGTCTTGTTTGGACTGAGGCTTTCCGGGATAAATTGCCGTGCTCAGGGCCTTGCTCCTCTTCTACTGCTCTATATATGCCAAACATCGCGAGCTTCCCGACACTCCAGGACAGTCCTCGTCTGAATTCTCTCTGCTTATCATTTGCAGACAGGATGACCATATTTGACGAGATAAAGCACGTCCAGAGGCTGGCCGAGGCGGAGGCCGCGGGTGATCCCAATGCTCACGGTGAACTGCTGGCTGCTATTCGCAAGCTGCAATTGGCGGCGGAAAAGCCGATTGACACAACTTCTCGAGTAAACTTTCAGGTGAGTCGCATGATATAGTTTGATTAAGCAATGCCGCTTACAAACAGGTTATGCAAAACATCTGCGTTCGAGTGGCAATTGAAAGGAAGCTGCTCCACGCGATAGCGGAGAGGAATGGAGAGCCCATATCATCGGCCGAATTGTCGCGTGTGACTCATACTGATGAACTTCTAGTTGGTAGGTGCATCGCTCCGTCTGCAGATCGATATTGATTCATTAGTCCGTGTGATGCGTGTGTTGACCGCAATTGGATTTGCCCTCGAGACGGCCAACCAAACTTACGCGGCGAATGAGACAACCCATTTTGAGATCCTCCCTGGATCAATTGCCGCTGTGAAGCATCAGTAAGTGTCACATATTGGTAAAGAATGGGCGACTGACTTTAACAGCTTCGAGCCCGACTTTGGCATGGTACGATTCCCTTGATCCTCAACTGTACGGTCCCGGCTGACAAGTTAGGGAGCCAAACTGATCGAGTACATGCGCGGTCCAGGCGTTAGCCAATTTGCCGATGAACCCGGCCAGCAAACCCTGTTCAAGTATGCACATGGTTTTGACAAAATCTTCGGCATGCTCGAACAAAACCCGGAGCAGAAGGAGGCGTTCGATGACTACATGGCGTCTCGACGGTTGACCAACCAGCCGCAGTGGTTCGAAACCTATCCTGCAGCCGAGAGTCTGCGGGATGTGCGAGACAGTCCAGATTCTGTCCTGCTGGTCGATGTGGGAGGAGGACCAGGACAGGAAATGTCGCGCTTCAGACAACGGCACCCGGACGTTCCGGGGAGAATCATCTTGCAAGATCTCCCTCTAACCCTCAATCGGATTGTGAAGATACCAGAGGGGATTGAGCCAATGGAGCACGATTTCTTCAATCCGCAGCCGGTCAAGGGTGAGACACATTCCATGTACCAGATCAAGGACGCTGACTGTCAAAGGTGCTCGGGCTTATTTCTTTCGGCAAGTGCTGCATAACTGGTCCGACGCCAAAAGCAGGCAGATTCTGTCGCACATTGCCGATGCCATGGAGCCAGAATACTCCACCCTGCTGATCGCGGACTACGTGTTGCCGGATACTGGGGCCGAGCTGAGAGCTGCTGAGATGGATATTCTCATGTGGCTACATACTGCCGGTCTCGAGCGAACGGTGTCGCAGTGGAGGTCCTTATTCGACGCGGTAGGCCTCGAGCTGGTGCAGATCTGGAATACCGACAAGGGAGATGAGTCGGTGCTAGTAGTGAAGAGAAAGTTGTGATGTATTCGAGGCTCTAAAGTCAGCTTCCAATTGTAACCACACAGTACTTTGTCTTGAATCAATGTTGGGTTTGCCTGGGTGTTCTGCACCGTTTCGCAATCGCATATAGCTAGACCAATGCCAATAGTAGCATTTATAGATCTTTTCACGACAAAGTAATTGCCATCATCTACACCAGCGGAGGCATCCATAGAATGACTATACTTTCTGGATCATGCTCTCCTTAGGTCCCATCTGAAGAACTCCATCAGCTATAGCGCACTAACACTATCTTTCTGCACGAGGTAATTTCAGGGACTCTTCCTCGGTCAGCTATCCGCACTGTCGAGCACCTCTGATACTCGCGAGCACTGACATTTCTATGAACCCATCCTTTAAAAGATTAACGATCAAGATTCATCCACGGTCCTTTTAGACTCTTTGCTTTGGATAAACCACCAGGTAATTCAGGTACTCCGGCGCCAAGACCTTGGCTCGGTGTCTGTCCATGTGCCCCAGGCAGCAACTGGCAGCCTAATCACCCATGCGTCGATATAACGCGACTGGAACCTCAGTCGTTGGGATTGACGGCCAGGTTTCTCAGTCATTGTATACATAATCGGCAAATTCACTCAACCATGGCAGTCGCAATGGCCTCTGCGCAGTCGCGATTCGACTTACCCGGTTTCTCCTTACCACTGAACTTCACCCCCAGGACGGTGAGGCCGGTCATGTTCCCCAATGGCCTGGACGGCTACTTCATCTCGTAAGCCAGTCGAGGTTCCGTAATTGAGGGCAAGCTGACTGAAACAGACGGTTGAATACACATCGAGAAATAGTCATGATGCGAGCAATGAATTCCATCACCGACAAGGCGGACTGGGACAAGAAGGCACGTAGGCCGTGGTATCGACACGCTCATATTGACTTGCTCAGGTTTTCAATGATGATATCATTTCCAAATGGCGTAAAGAAATTCAGGACAGCGGGGAAGACGTCAGCGAGCGAATGTTAGAGTGGATCATCAAAGAAGCACAATGGAAAGCTGAGGTCTTCCAAGATACCAAGCACATTGTCGCATTCGACGTGGGTGTGGTCAAATCGGATGTGGCCATACCGGAGGACTTACGACAAGCTCTGATAGAGGCCGTCCGTCCCCTGGAGGAGATTCCCAAGGAGCAGAAGGACTACCATCCTGGGACGGACAACAAGGTAGTGGACCTAGTGCATCCATCGTTATTTCCTGTCATATATGGCCGAACTCGCATCCTGCCGGATCGACTCATTAATCTCCAAGCCTTTGCAAAGGACATTGGTGAGGGCAACGTGCTCCCTGTCCGCCCAGAGGAGGAGTCTGTCACGGCGCAGAGTGACTACCAGTACCGCTGGTTCGAGAGGGACCCCCATCGACCCTACAGCCTCAGGTTCCAATGGCTACCCTGTGACGTTTACTTTGGACCAAATGATGGCAATGAATGTCGGATTGCGTCGTACATTAACAATCTACATCCGAACCGACACCGAGCCCTGTACCACATCATTGAAAAGATTCTGACGAGGACCATCCCTATGTGGAACAAGACCTTGACTCTCTTGCAGGATGAATATAAGCGCATCGAATACTATGAAGTAGAGTATGAAGACCATTCAGAACCCGAGCCGGAAGCGGCAGACGAGGATGAAGAGGATAGCGACGAATTCTGCGAGCTACACTGGGAATGGCAAAGAGGACAGCCCATCAAACAGCCAGAACCAGGAAGCTTTGTCCCACACACTTTGAAAAACCAGGTCAATCTCCGCCAGGAATATGCCGAGCGAGGACTCCAGGTGATCGTCAAGCTGGCGTACATTGAGTTGACGCCGGAGAAACCCGAGTATGAAGGAGGCTCCTGGCATATTGAAGGGCAACTGGTAAGTCTATCATGGCCTTGAATCGACGAGGCTCATCCTAATGATGGATAGAATGAGCATATCTGTGCTACAGCTATCTACTACTACGATAGCGAGAATATCACAGAGAGCACTCTCGCATTCCGTCAACGGGCCAGTACGGGCGATGTCGGGCACATTAAATACGAACAATCCCGGCACGGGTTTCTTCAACAGGTCTTTGGCTTCGGACCTGACGTGGATGGTCACAATGAATGCAACATCACTCAGCTGCTGGGCAGTGTCGAGACCCGCCAGGGGCGTCTTCTCACCTTTCCAAATATCCTCCAACATCGCGTGGCTCCGTTCAGACTTGCAGACCCGTCCAAAAGTGGCCATCGCAAGATCCTCGCATTTTTCCTTGTCGATCCCCATCTGTCTATCATTTCGTCGGCCAATGTGCCACCTCAGCAAGAGGACTGGTGGAGAGAACGACAGGAGCTCGTTGGTCGTTTGCTTGGGGAAAAGCTGCCTCCTGAACTGCAGGACATAGTAAAGCAGGACTTCGATGCTCAGCCCATCACGATGGAGGAGGCCAAGCAGTACCGAAAAGAGCTGATGGAGGAGCGTTCATGCAAGTTGGAGGCGCAGAACGAGAAATTTGAGACCGACAGCTTCGACTTGTGTGAACATTGACCATCATACAATCTAGCTCGTACTTATACTGGCAAGGTCCGAGTGCCAGGGGGAAATGGATTGCATTTGCTCTATGTTAACATTTCTATCATTCTATCGTTGACGATCTTTTTAAAGGACACTCCAAACATGTCAACCACTAGACCCTGGAATCGTAAAAGGTGCCCTCTTCCTGGATTGAAAGCGATTCAAAAGGCCCTTCCTTATTCTTATCATGCTTCTTCCGTTCTTTCTCGGCTCTCTTCGCTTCTTTCTTCTCCTGCTTGATCCGCTTTTTCTCTTGCCTGCTGACCTTGGGAAATTCCGAGTCCGGTCCTTGCAAGACTCGACCAGGATGAATGACGTTCAGAATGGCCAGGGCCAGGAACATTGGCGTCGCGTCGAGGACATATTCGTACGCCTCGTGAGTCAAAATGGGGTTAGTCGGGTCAGTGCCTCGCGCGTACTGGCATAGACGGAAGATGATTCGGATCTGCTACCTGTCAGTATACTTTGTCTTTCAAAAAGGAGATGACATACGGTGATGAGAGTCAAAGACGCATATAGCGCCCCGAGCAGCCAGCGCCACGAAATCGAGCCGCGAGTGGTCTTTTCTTGGTCCAATTGCCCGTAGTTTTCCATCCGTACCATTCGACGATGGAGATGGATTGTCAGAACGATAAAGACCAGCACGAACAGCTCTTGGAGTCCGATACCGCCCATATAGATATGGATACCGAGCATGGTGGTGCTGGCTGGGACGTCTGTCTGTGTCGTGATGCTGGCACCTCCGAGCTGGACGATAAAGGCGAGAATATCCAACCACACGAAGATTAAGCCGTATCGTTTGGCGGAGATTCCCCCCAGCCGTTGGTCGGGGATGAAGAAATGGATGAGGCGGCCTAGGGTCATGTATATGAAGGCATTGATCCCTATAGGTTTTAGTCAGTATCTCTTGCATTAAATGTCAGGAGTCTCGTCGTACACAGAGGAGCCAGAAGGTACAGAATTGTGTGAGCAGTGGCATAAGGCACGCTGTCCTGGTGTCGTGTCTGTAGAGTCCGGAATACAAAGGCAAGTAACTCCCAGCTGGCTCCCATGATAAGCACCCAGGCATATTTCTACCTTTGTCAGCATAAAGTGTTCTTGGGCATCTTGTCAGAACACCAACCTTCTTGTAGATGAAGGCTTGAACTGTGTGGCAGAGGGTCGTCAACCCGAAGAGAACCGTGAAAAAGATGGCTGCACCAAAGGATGGAACGTAGAGAAGAATGGCATCACAGGCTTCCGGAGGCAGGTAGCCATTTCTGCCCGGCTTTGGATGTGTACAGGTCTCTGTGGGAGATATGGCTGAAGCCGTAGCAGTGAGGGATATCGTTGCCGTGGCGTCCATATTGAGAGATGGAAAGAGGGTACTTGAATAGAGAACCTTTCTGCTTGATAATGGTGTATGGAGGCTATCATGGCTCGAAATATAAAGTTATATATATATAATCCATAATATCTGACGTTATTGTGAATGCCTGTCAGGCAGCCAGATAATAGGGTATATAACCACTGAGAGACATGATGCTCAGCCATATCAGCCTCCAAGATTCTGCAAGCATCCACTTGCATCATGACTTGTATCTTTTTCTGACTTCTTCGGATTCTTTGAGATGACAAGCGAGCAGGCCAATCAGACAGTATAAATGAAGCTTGGCATATGGCATATGGATACGATGTCGAGAGTAAAAATAGCCCAGCGGATTGGCATCCCAACAGGCCAATCATGACCGCTCTGACAGGCAGTCCATCTTCCCCGCTGAATGGACAATTCGCAACTGCTCGCATCCGCTAACTGTTTTAGTCTTGGGGCCCGACTTATCTGGCCTCGTTTCTCGACTTCCGTCTGACATGGTGATAGGCAGCCACGTTCCCATGGCTTGGATCCGTGGATATCACCGACTCGCTTCTCTCTAACCCAACTCGTCCGTCGCATCTCAAGGTAACAGTGCGCTGGGAGTATATGAATCGTGATCGTGGGACGCCTTATATGTAATAGAACCATGCCTCAACGGACAGTAGTTAGCCGGTCTCGCAGCGGCTGTCTGACGTGCAAGTGAGTCGACAACATGTAGCGCAATTGAAGCAGTAATATTCATGCTGGTGCTAGGATACGAAGAGTGAAATGCGATGAAGAAAAGCCCACCTGTCGACGATGTCGATCCAGTGGCCGAAAGTGCGACGGATACGCTAGCCCCTCGTCCAGCACTGTTCGCCAATTGACCGATCTGCGCATTATTCAATATACTTCACAGGTATCTGAACCAATGAAGATGAGCATGTTTCCTTCGTTTCACCGGCCGCTAGCGGGGTGTGACTACCGTGCGCTGGAATTTTTCCACTTTCAGACCGTCGCCTGCTTCGGATCCAGGGCCGGGGACTTCCTTCTCCGTGCAGCCTATCATGACGCGACGGTGCGAGTGGCTGCCACTGCGCTGGGGTCCTTGCATCGTGCCTTTGTGCGTGACGGGCCAGCTGTGCCGCAATCAGCATTGACTCGGTATGCATTGCAGCAATACAGCTCTGCAATCCACCTGGCTCTGAATCAGATCCCTGTAAGTGAGAGACAAAGCACTGACAGCATACTCATCATGTGTGTTCTGTTTTTCTGCTTTGAGAGTTTGCAGGGCCACTTTCGAAATGCCGTCCAGCACGGTATAGCCGGCCTACGAATCCTCAGGCAACGGGAGGAGCGCTTTCTGAACGAAGGAATCGTAGCCCGTCTTCCCCCGAGCAGTGTTCGCTTGATATTTGTCACAATCGAGAATCAAATGCTCGAGGTAGACTGGAAATCGTACCTCCCTGTCTCCATCCAGTCAACCCTGCTGTCTCCCTCCAAACTGCCTCCAGTCGAACTAGAGGACGCGCCGACGCTCGACCAGCTCAGTGATTTCTTTCAGTTTTGCTACAACCAGTATCTCAAGTTTTTATACCTGTCCCAGACATCCGTGAGTGTGGAGCTGGTCCAAACCCTTCAGCAGAACCAGGCATACTATGCCCAGATGCGACAGCACATGCACGCCTGGTCGGCAAAGTTCGACGCATTCCTCGAAGCCCATGTGCAAACCGAGCAGAGCGAAAGCGATCGCATAACAGTGAGTCATCTGATGATGTGGCGGAAGATGATGGGCATCTTCCTGAATATGGATGCGGGGCCCGCCGAGGGCGGGCTTGATCGGTTCTCCTCTGAATTCAGCGCGATCCTATGCCTAGCTGAGGATCTCATAAATTCTACCTCTTCTGCACCTCCTGCTTCAACGGCAAGGCCCTCTGCCAAGCCACCCTCAGGTCGACAACAACAGAATACCCCCCCTACAATCCTCCCCAAGCCCGAACCATCACCATCACCATCGTCTCCACCGCCGCCCTCCTCCTCCGCCTTCTTCGTCGTCTCGCTAGGACTCGTCCCCCTTCTCTGGATCGTCGCCACATCCTGCCGGCACTCGCAGATCCGCCACCGAGCCATTGACCTGATGAGCCGCAGTCGCCGGCGGGAAGGCGTATGGGACTCGGTCCTGTTCTCGACTCTTGCGCGCAAAATGGTCACGATAGAGGAAGAGGCTGCGGGATTTGCCAAGGGAGCCATGTACGAGCCGGCGGATCTGCCTCTCTCTGCCCGGACTCATACGGCGACCGGTGAGTTCTACGAGGGGCGACAGGGGAAGATTGCGTTCTTCCGGGATGGGGTCAAGCTTTGGGAGGAGACAATGCAGTGGTGATATGGCTATGACGGGTATGCTTTTTTGCACGACAGCGTGGATGATATTTACTAGAGGGATCATCGATCGTATTAACACGGTATGATACTTTTGTTCCTGGCTATGGATGATGGGTATGGCAATATGCTAGCATCGTATAATACAGATCATCATTATCCTCTGTCAGGACACAGACCATTACTCCCACACTACAGCTTGACTGCGGCGTTATATCTTGATCTTGCAGGTATACGACGTCGTCGAGTTCTCCGCAAACGCGGCGATCAGACCCTTAATGGCCGAATATGCACCCAGCCCCGCCAACGCCAATGCACCCAAGATATAGAAAATGTTGAAGACACTCAGAGCCAGTTCCTTGGGTCTCTGCGCGAGGAAACCACGGACGAAGCGCCGTATGCCTTGATCATGGCGGACGGTCTGTCCCGTCGTGGGGTCGAAGCCCTCGCCGTCTCTCAGGGCGGCGCGCTTCACCCAGTACGCCAGGGCGAGAAGGGGCGGGAAGCTGTAGGTGAATTGCAGGATACACACGGCAGCGACTACCGAGGTCAGACCGGAGAAGTTGGGGATACCGGCCGCCAGAGCAAACGCGATACCCCAGTAGACGGGGACCAGGAAGACCCAAAATATTTTGCCGCCCCGGGTGGTCAACGGAGGGCACTGGAAAATCTCAACGAAGATTTGGTTGTACAAAACTAGAGAGACGGTCAGTAGGCAGTCGCATATGAATAAGCGCTGGGGTGGCATACCTTTCAGGCCGATGTTTCCATACAGACCCGCCGCAATGGCCGCACTGAGCATGGCAAAGACGTTGCCGGCCGTCGAGATGTTGTATGAGCCGATCCCCAGGTAGCTAGGGTTGACGTTGTACTGGCCCTGGTAGCCGTACATGAACAGGCCATAGAACATGTACCAGAAGTAGATGAACGCCTGGGCCGCCCACATGGCTGTCAAAAAGTCCTTGGGCCGCTTCATCTCCGACATGAATTCTGGGAACACCATGGCGCCGCCGTATGCGAACACGGCTTGCATGGCGCCATTGAGCGAGCCGACGAAGTTGCCCGACTCGGGCAGGCCGCCGGACGTCTGAACGGGAGGATAGACACCATTCACGGGCGTGATGAGGGCCTCGTTGACGACCGCCCCCGCCGACGCCGAGGCGGCCGCGTAGTTGGGGGGCGCGTTGGCCGCTCCGCCCATGGTGATGAACATGACGAGGAGGTTGATCCAGACGGCGGAATTGGCGAGCCAGCCATACTTCTGCAGCGTCCGGACCTGGCCGATGAAGAAGCCGAACAGCGCCCACACCAGGCAGCAGATGATGAAGCACAGCTTGGACTTGGACACCTGGTAGAGCGCCTCACCGTTGGAGATGACGATCAGCCCGACGTTCAGCAGCAGCTGGATGCTCTGCAGCACGTTGAATAGATAGCGCATCCACCGGCCGTACAGACGGAAACCGAGATCTCCGAAGCTGCGGAGGGGGAACTGGTACGAATCGAGACCCATGAACGCTGACCAGAGGAGATAACCAGAATAGGCAGCCAGGCCACCAAAGACAGTGTACAATGCAATACCGGGACTATCACGTCAGTTGCTTTCTATCATTTGAAATTTAAAAAAGGCAAAGTGCCACTCACCCCCAACCCATGGTCGCAAAGGCATAGCCCAGACCGAAAGGACCCAGAATGTCGGTGGTGATCAGATAGAAGATGGCTCCGCGGGTGGCCGTCCGCAGCGCCCGGGACGCATTGGTCCATTCCTCGTCGGTGATGGTCATTCGGCCCGCTGCAGCGCTGGCATTAATTGTTTTGGCATCTTCGGACGTGTTTTCAGCCACCGGCTGGACGCCCCCGCCCGACTTGGAGGGGAAGAGGATAGACAGCCATCCCCGTTCCTGGTCCGCGTTGGGCTGGGCCTCTTCTTCAGCACGGGTCAGTTGGGCGTAGTAATAGTACTCCTCGAAGGTGACACTAGAATCATGCAACTTGCGGTGCTGCGGACGGATAGCAGCAGTGCCAGGGCTGTAGTCAATGGCATCAATGGCGTCACGCTCTTTCTCATGCAGTCGAGGATCTCCCCCATCGAGGGCGACACTCGCTGGCTGTGCCATGACCGAGTACAAAGAGCTGAAAAAGAAGAAGGAGAAGAAAACGAAGAATGGACGGAGAAGGTGATCTTTGGAGCGAGGGAGAGACGGAGAGGAGCGGCTGGGACCGAGGGCTATTTATCTGGTGGAACCATATCCCAGACGAACAGATAGCGGACTTTATCCGCAGACCAATAACAGAATAGTAGCATGATAGGAAGCGATGGAAAGTATAATCAGACCAGGTAGAGGCTATTGACGGGATTTTGCCTCCTGGCGATGATTCGGCTGCCGATAAGGTTTCCTATCCCCAGGTTCTAGTCGCACTGGTGGCAATCGAGAAGCTCGAAGAAGAACTGGTGCCGAGGCTAGCCAAGGAGAACGGCAAAGGCTTGATAATGCTTATTTGCCATGACGATGAGGAGAGGTGGGCCAGTGGGTCTGTCGTCGAGCTGAGAAGTGCATGCTAATATGGGAATACGAGAGACCAGGTAGGGGAGTGTACTCCGTACTACAAGTGATTGAAGCACCTGATTCCGCTCCCTCTATCTCTCGTCAATTGAGCACTACAATTCGTCAGAAAGAGGAGTTCTTCAGCGCTGTGGAACTGTCGATGTAACCCTCCGCAAAGCAGGGCGTTGCACTAGATGCCACCATCCAAACTTTGTTAGATTAGGCTCAACCTAACCAGACCAAATAAATAACGAGCTTCAAGGAAAAGCATCTGCCTATCAGTTTCAAGACATCTGTCTACGCCGAAACAGGAAGGTGCTTAAGCGTGGATATGCCATGTGTTGCCCTGCTTTGTCCACGCAAGCTTCCCTCTACCTCTTTCTACCGGCCGCTGATTGGAATATGTATCCACTGTCCAGCATCTAATCATGCTTATTGCTGCTCCTTCAGAAGGCGAGGCAAGTGCAGGAACAATTGATTAGGCTAAAACTTTTATCATAGAAAGCTGATATACTACCCCGAAATAGCCATATCTTAGAAGCGGGATAGGACATGTCTGGACAAATCAAATAGCCTCAAGGGAGAAGATAAGGACACTCCACAGCATTGATATGGATACCCTGGCGTCGTCCCTTTGGTAAGGGGCCCTACTCACCGGGGTCACGGCATCCGATATTGGTCGTTATGATATCGGCATCAAGGACGACAAGCTAACCCTGCACGTAGAAAGACCATTATTCGCAGCTGCGCCCAGACATGTCAGATCCATCTTTTTTTCCGCATTGGATGTAGCAGAAAGAAGCCGCCAGTAACGTATGCTGCGACGATTCCTCAGTGAGGATCTATGGACTACAAAACCGTACAGCTACGCGACAGGTCCTGTCATAGCTCTCGGCCAACTTCAGACGCCCGTCCTCAGTCCACGTTTCCTCCTTCATCACTGAGGGGCAGACAAATGGACTCGCAATAAGCAGAGCCCTGTCCGTGTATCTCTTTCCACACAAACACAAATACAAACGTGAACTTCTTCCCCCCCCCCCAACCAACCCCCCCAACCCCCGATCTCGAGAGTACCTGGTAAGGATCACACAACGCAAGCTACAGGACTATTATTTCCTCTGATCGCCCTCTCTTTCTGTACGACCATATGATCAGCGGTATGAAGGCGCGATCCCGCTATATCCCCACGAGTCGGATTGGTCTCGAGCGCAAATCGTCTCACAGCGCAGAAGTTCGTCGAGCTGACCAGATCTGGTGTCCTCTCGCAAGTTATCTCCCATTACCAGCAGTCTACCGCATCATAGTGCCGTCTACTCCGTTGGAATGGACGACAGTATCCAATGGCTGCGATAGACGTCGCTTCGAGGGAGGTAGTCTGGGCTCGCGATCATGGAGGCGTCGAGGGAGGCAGCGATACGGGCAATTTGTGCGACGCGACCGAAGCGACTTTTTTGAAACCCAGTGGCCGTTGGACGCAGAACATTTCTGAGGTGGCAGAAGAGCTGGATGAGATGGCAACGGTGACCAGATCACGCTTGTTGTTAGATGTTGTTATCAGCAGGGGTTCCATAGCAGCGACAGGGTTGTTTGACGTAATGTATCGATACAGAAATTATGAGTATGATTGGGCATTGCTATGTATCCCGTGAAACTGAATTACCACCTCCGCATTGGGATGAGGTCACCTGATCATGGTCTACTTGGGCACTGGGTGAGGAATGCAGCGACCAGGATCGCCTTTGTCGTCGTTTTACTCTTATTTCACCAGCTGATCGAAATGATGCATCGGGAAGGGCTCAGCTTAGTATGCTATTATGCAGGATTTGAGACATTGCCTAAAGCGGAAATAGACCATTGTTGGAATCGGCGTCCCCGAGATTCTGGAGCAGCGGAAACAGCAGCAATGGACGAAAACGGACTGAACCAGGCAATCCGTACAAGTGTGTCAAGACTAAAAAAATGCCCATTGAGAGCTTTGTATCACTGGATGGTCGATATAGACAAGAGAGGAAGACATCGATTCCCTCTCCTGTCTGCCTATAGAGTGTCCTCGATCAACGTCCTTCCTGCTAAAGTCCAGAGTCTCTGGCCAATCTACACCCCATGGCCGTCGTCATGACGCTGTGGCATTCCAAGGTCATCAAGATCATTGCCGGGTTCCTGTTCAGCATGCTGTTGCTTAATGCGCTGGTCAGAAACGGGGTCGACTACACGGCAACGCGCCATATGGTCCGTGGCGGCCATTCTCGTTGGGCTGATGACTCGCTGTATCAGGCAATTCAAAATGAGACACTTGGAGTACGCCATCTCAAGCTGCTATATGTAGTCCTGGCTAACGTGTCCAGTTCGAGCATGTCTATGCCATTGGTCTCAAGGAGCGTACCGACAAGCGCGATTTCATGGCTCTGGCGTCCTCGATTGTCGGCTTTCAAGTGGACTGGATAGACGGAGTGAAGCCAGAGGATGTTCATCCAAAATCGCTTCCGGAGGTAAATTATCTCTTATCCAGTCGAGGTTTCGCTAATACCGATCCAGGGAATGAACCTGACTATTATCAAACCTACGGTTGCAGCCTGTTGGCGAGCTCATATGAATGCCCTTCGCACGTATGTACCATGGAATTTGGGGATGATCAGAACTGATAACTCGCAGAGTCGTGGAAAAACGGCACGCAACCGCGCTCATTATGGAAGACGATGCCGACTGGGATGTCTCCCTCAAACAGCAGCTGCGTGAGTTCGCGCGAGGACTCCGGACGCTTTCGCCGACCAAGACCGCCTCGAAAAAAGCCCCATATGGTACGGATTGGGACCTTCTCTGGGTTGGGGGATGCGCAACCGCTGCCGGAGTCAACGAGACCGAATTCTACGCAATCCCCAATGATCCTACAGTCCCAGGAATGAACCGCCGCAGCGGCTGGGCCGACCGGCGGGGCCCGCTGGACCGGTGGAAGCACCGATTCCCCCAGCTCCCCGAGGAATCAACCCGGTTTGTCTATCGCGCAGACACCGGTTGCTGCCTTTATGGATACGCTGTGACCTACAATGGCGCCCGGAAGATCCTGGCCTCGTTGTCCGTGGACCACCTGGAAAACCCCGTGGACAATGCCCTGGCGGACATGTGTCAAGGCACGAATCGTCCTCAGATCCAATGCTATGCGCCGCATCCGAATCTGATTGCGACGCATCGACGCGCGGGTTCTTCTTACAAGGACTCGGACATTGAGGCCTATGGACAGGACAACTGGCACCCAGCGGAGGCGTGGGATCTAGTGTACAGTACGAAGCTCAATCTTCATCGGTTGCTGGCAGGGAACGAGACGGTTATGTCTCAGTGGCCGGACGACCATAATCCATGGTCGCAGGCTCAGGTGAAGCTGAAGGAGTTTCAATATCCGCAGGGGTTTCATGTCACGTATTCCGGTGATGTTTAGTAGACAGCCTGTATGTGTCATTTAGATATGTAGCTGCACCATGTAAAATAGCACTTTTCAGGCTCATCCAGTGTCATTCGCTATATTTAGTAAGAGTGTATCCTTAGCAGAAAATGCAACATGAGGTTACTTGTACCATGTTCACCGCTGCAACCCTTCCGGATGCGAACCGACCTGACCCGCATGCCAGCCCTAACCAATGCAATTTACTTGTCTTTGTCTGATCTGACACGGACAATGATCACAATGTTCCATTTGATTGTCACGAGTTCTGGGGTCTGGGTGTCATCGCTCGACTCAATCAAGGAAGCTTCAACGGTTCTCGATCATAGTGGTCTTCCATATAGTCTTCTCTGTAAGTCTCTCACCATGCTTGTTTTGACAATATCTACTTAAAATGTCTTACGCCACTATTCTCCCCGAGAAGCTCCCAGAGGAAGCGGTCCAACCTGTCAGTTCGTCTCTGTCCGACTACGATGCAGACCTCTCGTCGTCCAGCTACACAGAAAGTCCGGATCTTGAAGATCGAGAGAAATATGCCGGAATAGTAGCAGAGACAAAGAAAAAGGACAAGTCCACCCCAGGTCTTCGCTTCATTGTTTGGACAGCAATCAATGTTGCGTCCACCGTTGCCATAGTATGTTCTTCACCCACTAGAAAATCTCAACTGACCAGCCAAGGTGTTCACGAACAAATACATCTTATCCGATATATCATTCCACAACTGCCAGGTCGCCTTTGCTGCGTACCATTTCTTCATCACCGGGGCCACATTATGGGTCATCTCTCGCCCGCAGTGTGCCGTCTTCATACCGAAACAGGTGTCGGTAGTGCAGATTATCCCACTGGCGGCAGCGATGTGTGTCCAGGTGATTCTTCAAAATCTCTCGCTTGCAAATTCGTCCGTCATGTTCCATCAGCTGGCTCGATTACTCTTGACCCCGGTCGTGGCTTTCCTCAACTACATGCTCTACTCGACCAAGATCCCCCGGGCGGCCATCTCCCCTCTCATCCTGCTCTGCTCCGGTGTAGGAATCGTTTCCTACTATGACTCCCTCGCGAGCAACGAGAGCGCTGCGAGTCCTTCGGCCTGGGGAACGCTATTCGCTCTTGCCGGCGTCTGTGCCAGTTCAATCTACATGGTATGGATTGGGCAGTACCACAAGAAGTTCCAGTTGAATAGCATGCAGCTTCTTCTGAACCAGGCACCGGTCAGCACCGCTCTGTTGCTGCTCACGGTGCCTTTCACTGCGACGCCGCCATTGGGGGCTGTTCCAGTGTCCATGTGGATTTTAATATTAATGGTATGATGGCTCCCCTTGTCTCCGTTCTTTCTAACGAGTCACAGAGCGGCATCTTCGCTTCCTTGGTGAATCTCTCGCAGTTTTTCATCATCGACTTGGCGGGACCCATCAGTGGGACCGTGGTCGGTCAGCTCAAGACGTGCATCATTGTCGGCCTGGGATGGGCTTTTAGCACGAATCCCATCTATTTTCAGAGCATTGTTGGGATTTTCCTGGCGTTGGTGGGCATGAGCATGTAAGTTTTGCAGTTTTGATAGGATCATTCGACTAATCCTTGCCAGATATATGCGGGTCATCATCCAAGAGCAGCGATAAATAGAACAGGGAGTTAGCTAAGACCAGAGAGGTTAAAAGTGTTTATCAATCATCCATTATATAGCAAGACTTCTGTCGCATTATGACCTGTCATAGGTCTGTAGGTGGACATGCATAACAAATGCGGCTAATCAAGATGCATATGCATTTATTTTACTTTAGTCTAACTACCCCTCAAATTCATGACAGCAACCCTCCTCCAGCCTTCCATCCGTTCATTGTTTCTCAAGCACATAGAGCACTATATAATCCCCATGTTCCTTTTACGGCTGCCGGATGATATTCTCCTCCTGCTGGCTGATAATCTGTCGCGAGAGAGGGACGTCAATGCCCTTGCGCAGACTAGCCATCGACTTTACCGACCGCTAAATCGATTCCTCTACCAGTATAATATCCGACATTGCCACAGCTCCGCTCTCCGATGGGGTGTATCGGTGGGTTGCGAGGGCACCGTTAGAAAATCTCTAGAGCTAGGCGCACCTCTTGATTGTAAGCCCTGGACGGACATAGACAGCGAGACACCCCTGGTGAACGTTGCATCCGAAAGAGGCTACGATCGTGTCTTGAAGCTCTTACTGGACTATGGCGCCAACCCGAACGAGGATGGACATTTTCCTCAGGTGCCCCTTTCGTTAGCCATTCAAAACGGACACGATGCAGCGGTGCGAGTATTATTAGCCCGGGAAGCTACAAATGTAACCCTGCCGTCCGTCCCCTTCAGTCAACAACCGCTGCATTACGCGTTAGAACGAGGATCTCTGGAATATGTTCTACTCCTGCTCGGACGAGGCGCAGATATTCAAGAGTATGAGTCTCGAGGCGCCCGGGCCCTTCACCCAGCCGTCAGAAGTGGAAGTAGAGATCTAGTCGAGTTCCTCATCGGTCGTGGGAGTGATCCACTGGTCTGTTGTGGATATACGGCTCTATCGCTCGCTGCAGTCATGGGGCACCAGTCACTGGTCCAGTACTTTCTCGCTCATGGCGTGGATCCGAACATTCGGGATCGCGTAGGATCCACTGCTCTCGGGCACGCAGCCAAGGAAGGCCACGCAGACGTTGTCAAGACGTTGCTTGCATGGGGCATCGAGACAGAATCTCGTGGAGAGGACGGAGAGACAGCTCTATCATGGGCGGCCAGACAAAACCACGAAACGGTGGTGGATCTTCTACTGCAGCACGGAGCACATCCGACTTCGTCCAACTCTAGCGGGATATCTCTGCTCTACTGGGCCGTCACCAACGGTTCCATCCCCATATTCAAAGCTCTCTTGGCGCACGGTGCCAGGCTGGACATTGGAACCAGTGCAGGAGAAACCCTTCTCCATATCGCCGTACGGAGGAACAATCTGCCGCTGGTCGAGATGCTCATACAGCTGGGCATTGAGGTGGACAAACCAGACAAGACAGGCCAGACTCCTTTCGCCCTGGCTGCGGCGTGCGGTCGCATCGAAATAATGGAGTTCTTGCTGGCCAGCGGCGCAGACATGACTCTCCGGGATCACAGCGATGGAACACCCTTGCTCACAGCCTTCAAGGGACATCAAGATGCCGCGGCCGAGTTCTTACTACGACGAGGTGCTGATCCGAACTTCGCACATTCCGCGCGACTCTTCTACGCAGCCCAAGGGGAAATGGTCCGGGTCATACGGTTTCTACTGGAGAATGGTGTTGATCCTGACCCCGTAGATCACTACAGCCGTACCCCCCTGCTTATTGCCTGTGAGTATTTCCGGGAGAATCGCTGCGATATAGCAGAAATGCTGCTCCGGACCGGTCGCGTGAACATCCATGCCCGAAATGCGGAACATCGCACGCCCCTTCTGTGCGCGACCATGGAACATAATCCTCAGCTTGTACGGCTTTTGCTCTCCCACGGTGCAAATGTCGACGATAGCGACGAAGAGGGGTGGACTTCTCTTGCGGGTGCATGTGCCTCGGGGGACGAGGAGATATGCAGGATTCTGCTCGAGGCTGGGGCAGACATCAACAGCCGGGACAACTATGGACATACTCCTTTATATCAGGTAGGGCATGCCAGTGAGAGCCTTAAAGAATTTTTGCTTGAAATGGGCGCAGAGCTCCGATAGTCGGCGTGATCGATGACTTCGCGTGAATGGACATAGATATGAGCGATAGGTATCCTAGAGAATACACTGACTTATAGGATGCCTTCATACACCAAAATGAAGTAAATGAATAAAGATCTTATGACCATAAACATCAAGCGGGTTGACCAAATAATTGCAGCCATCAGTGCCTCTGTCGATCTCGGCGTATTCCGTGCACTGACATACAGAAACTAAGTGAGAGCAATCAAGCCTATCTACATATTGTCCGTGCCAAATTGTCATCCAATCATAAGGCATCTATGGAATATTCCCCTGGCACTAGCCTGAATAGGCAGCTCACCGGAGAAGCTTAGCGGAAGACAGAGGAAACAGTGTGAAGTCATAGTGGCAACTGGCACGGGCAACACAGTATCTTCAGCATGCAATTCATGAACCTATTCATATCCAACTGAGGCTGGGGGACACGATATTCATTCGGATTCGCATTATCAGCACTCTAATGCTCTGTAATAGATGTGTATATTCCGAACTTTTCAAAGACTACAAGGTGCCAAGAAGCAACCAGGCACTGACAGCTCTGATTAATTCTTTTATGTAATTAGGACCAAATCTTGTTCCTCCCGCACACCATCAAGGCCCACAAAGTGCCATGATTCCAGTCTCATTGGCTCGACGCTTTCTTCATGATTCCAGACCATATGGGGAAATCCAGCGCGAGAGTGGCCACCGATTTTTCCATCTGCTAACCATGTTGGGACAACCGGATGAGAGGTTGATGGAGTGTATATATATGGCTTCTTGGGACCTGAGCAGTGCGGGGGGTAGGTCTGTGGTATTGATCATTTAAGGATGTTCACCGATGACCGTGGGGATCAGGATTCCGGTATGTGTCTGTATATATGTATATAATGCTGTCCAGAGATACTGACAAGACAGTCTCCTCAGTGAGCTCAGACGTGACCATCGTGGACTGGGATGGACCGGACGATCCAGAAAACCCACTGAACTGGTCCAAGGCGAGAAAATGGCTCATCACCTGCGTCTCGCTGCTCATGACGTTTGTTGCGCTCATGAACGGCACTATCATCACCGTCGCCCATGAAGCCATCAACGAGCGATTTGGGATCAGCGATGCCAGCTTTCCGCATTCGTATTGGCCCGTGACCTCCTGGGCTCTGGGAGGCGTCTTCTTCTCTCTGCTCATCCTCCCCATCATGGAGGACTTTGGCATCCGACGCACCTTCCTCTTGACGCATCTGCTGCTGATCCTCTTTGTCATTCCCCAAGGCGTGGCGCAGAACTTTGCGACACTCGTCGTCACGCGTTTCTTCGCCGGCGGCTGCGTCACTGTCATCGGCAACAGTGCTGCCAGCGTAATCGGGAATGTCTGGGCGACAGAGAAGCAGCGCAGTAAGCCCGTCAGTCTCTGGATTTGGGCCTATCTGGCGGGAAGCAGCGTGGGCCCGGTGATTGGAGCGTCCATCTTCCAATTTCTGTCCTGGAGATGGATCTCTTACCTGCAGTTGATCTGGTATGGGGTGTTGTTCCCGATCAACTTTTTGGTTTTCAAGGAATCGCGCGCTGCGATCATCCTGCACCAGCGTGCGAAGAGGTTGCGCGCCAAAGGCCAGAATGCGTATACTCGCCAGGAACTCGAGGCCGAGCCGCTGCGACAGCTGCTGGTCACGAGCATCCAGCGGCCCCTCAAAATGCTGGTCACCGAGTATGTGGTGTTCTTCTCGACGCTGTGGTCGGCCTTTACCGTCGGCACGCTGTACCTCTTCACCCAGTCCGTCGAGCAGGTGTTTGTGGGTTTGTATGGCTGGGGTCCAGTCGAGGCCGGATACGTCCAGGCCGCCATTGTGATTGGAGAAGTCGCCGGGTGGTTCTTCTCCATTCCCTCCGCGAAGCTATACTTTTCTTCTGCCCGTCGCAATGCCGAGATGCCTGGTCTCCCGATCCCTGAAGCACGGCTGTACCTCTCTGTGGCCGGCAGCGTGGTTGGCATTTCCGGAGGCATGTTCGTGTACGCGTGGACCTCGTATCCGACTCTGCCGTGGATCGCCCCTGCGGTGGGACTGTTCATGGTAGGGGCAGGGAGTGTCGTGGTGGTCGCTGGACTGGCGGATTACATTGTGGATGCGTACAGCCAGTACGCCGGCAGTGTCATGGCGTGTTTCGTGCTAGGCGAGAATACCTTTTCGGCGTTTCTGCCGTTGGCGGCCATGAGCATGTATAACACACTGGGGTTCCAGTGGGCCAGTACGCTGCTGGCGTTTATCAGCTTGTCTCTGGTACTCGCCCCGATTGCTTTTATTGTTTGGGGCAGAAGAGTGCGCGAAAAGAGTCCGTATATGCGAGAGGTGATCAAGGAGAAGAGGATGCAGGCTGGCTTACAGTGACTGTAAATAATATGCACTCAGTTGTAAATATCATAGACTCAGGTATATAAATCTACAATAATTCATGCAAATCTAATCCGATTGTATTTGGTCTAGACTATAATTAAGCAGGGGGGGGAAATAGGCTGTAATCGTACATGGGGATGAAAAAAAAAAAAAAGAATGCCTCCGGGGAGGATCGAACTCCCGACCTTGAGATGGCTCAGAAGTGGAACTTCTGATCATACAGGCATATGAGACTCACGTGATAACCAACTACACCACAGAGGCATTGCTTAGTTTGTTTGCTGTCTTTTTTGCTCTACGAGACAGCGGTCTAGCAGCTGATGCCTAAGGGATGATAGCATCATAACCTTCAAACCATTTTCTGCCCTCAATGGATTTAAGTTAGTTTTGAGTTAGAAATAATGGATTATACTACTTTCATGCGACTAGTATACCTGGAGTTGTTCAGTTGCCTCCATTGTTCTTCCCGCAAACTATGTACACACTGCTTAGATTCGACAAACACCTTGGTTGGCCTTTATTTTTCAATTCAAGGAAGTCGTCATGTGGTAAGTAAACTCTTTGAATTCTGTTAACACCTAAACGACAAGTGCTAAATTATCAGAGGTAATGCTGTGGACCTCCATGGATGTTGACGTCACACGCGGTCAAGATCCGAGATATCAGACCATCGGGCCGATTCGATATCGAACCACTATGACGCCGAAGTGGACATACGAAACAAGGCAGGAATCGGAGCATTGAGCAGACAGTAGACAGTAGTCCGGCTGCTCCGACCTCAAAATGCGTCGAACCCGCATTTCCTCCAGCTATCGCCCAAGTGTGGTACTCGGTAGATGATGATCACTAAAGTATCTCTGTCGGATCGAATATGCCAGGTCACTTGGGGATGGTATTCCATGTCCATGGCTACAGGAGGTATCGCCGTCCTTCTGTCTAGCACACCGCATCAATTTCGCGGGTTAACGACCATCGGCAAGGTCGTCTACATGCTCAATCTCGTCCTCTTCCTCTGCATATCTGCCTGTCTGACCATACGATTTCTGACCAAGTCCTCGGCTCTCAAAGAGTCCTTCCAAGAGCCCAATGAAAGCCACTTTATGGGAACCTTTCTACTGGCCCTGGCGACAATCGTCCTCGGAGCCGAAAAATACGGAACAGAAGCATGTGGCCCTTGGCTGCAGGTTGCCCTCCGCATCGTCTTCTGGATCTACGTCGCCCTCGCGACCATCCAGGCCATCTGGCATAACTGGTACCTCTACCATATCCGCATGGCCAGTCGACAGCCGTTCGCTCTCGTTCGGCTTCTCCCTTCGTTTCCGGCAATGCTATCCGGGACAATTGCGTCGGTGCTCGCGTCGCATCAGCCTCGTAATCATGCCCTCCCCATTCTAATTGGGGGGACCACCTTCCAAGGCTTCGGGTTCATCATGTCTCTTTTCATCTACTCCGAGTACTTCTACCGACTGAACAAGGACGGACTCCCGAAGCCCGCTGATCGACCGGAAATGTTCATCGCGGTGGGACCACGGAGCTTCACGGCGCTGGCCCTGATTGGGATGGCGGAAGCAGCCGTCAAGCAGTTTCCTGCGCGGTACATCATCTCCTACGCCGACGCCTCCAATAGCCATCAAATCTTAGTCACAACCGGAGACATTACAATCGTGCTAGCTGCGCTGGTCGCCATCTTCTTGTGGACAATGGCAGCCTTTTGCCTGTGCATTGCTATCATCAGTGTCTTGGCCCAGTGTCGAGTTTTCGGCGGTACCGGGGCGCTGGGCATGTCGCTTCCATACTGGAGCATGGTCTTCCCGAATACGGGGTTCGTGATTGCTACCATTCGGATTGGACAGGTGCTGCAGTCGCCGGCGATTCTGTGGGTTGGTTCAGGGCTGACCATTGCCCAGGTGGTTGTCTGGTTGTGTGTCGGTGTGGGCACGATATGGGCTGTGGCTACACGGCGGATGCTGTGGCCTGAGACTGGGGATAAGGTGGCTTAATTATATCTGAATATCTCGCATTTTGATGTGTCAACTACAGCTGGACATTCATGATCATATAGAGTAGGTAATGAATAACGAGTGCCTATAAGCTTGCTACAAATGAGAAACCGTTTCCGTCCACAGGATCCTCCCACCGCATACTTCCAAGCGCTGAGGAGCTACATGCACTCAATCCAAACCAGCATTGACCGGAATCAGGACTAGGATGGCAAATGTAAGGGCCGCCAGCACACGACCAGCAGCCGTAGTGGCGCACAGAATACTCTTATGCAATATTCTTATTAGCAGAACGTCAATGCTGGTTCACGAATGGTATACAGTGATTTTGGCGGAGGAGGCCAGAAGCAGAAGATATTCATAATGCCTGTGCCTTGCATACGTGGGATATAAAAATTTGCAAACAGCACATGTTTCGATCCTCCAGATGGGTCAAGACCACATATCAAGAAGTAGAGGATCGGCAATTAACCGACCGTTTGCTTAGGGGCAACCCTCCAACGGTGGTTTAAATGTGATGACCTTCTAAGGAGGACGAAAAAAGTGAGAACGATAGTATCAGCCCCTAAGCCTAGATTTGATGCTTCTCTAACTGAATGGCAGAATCTTTAACTACCTTAGGAAGTATAACAGGAGGATGTGCTGCTAATTCATCGAAGTAATGCCGGGCATCCTGTATCGAACTGTACTAGCAGGTGCTGGCATCTGTATTGACCTCCTTCGTCAATACTCCACATATCCACGTCTACTTCCACCTAGTAGAACCGCGTGTCGTCCACGACAACCGTAGTATATACTGACAAACTAGATAGACGCCATCGATACATAAATACTAATCCATGACTTCGCTGCAGGACCCATCGGTTGTTGAGCTCAACAAAGAGAATTCTGTCCCTGCTAAGTCCCCCTATGATCTATCTGACCCAGCGCGATTGGATGGGGGTGGGCCCAACTTTCCGTTGGTGTCCTGGTTTGCTATACCTGTGTGGTTTTTGACTGGTTGTTTGGCCCGTGACGAATCAAGCGGAGGAGGAGGTGGAGGATGCGGGGGCTTTCGACCCCCTCCTTTGTTACCCTTGAGTGTAGGGCTGTTTCCAGTCAATTTCTCTGCTGTGATCTAAGCAATCAAGGAAGAGGAGAGTGAGTCACATACTAGGAGGGCATTTTGCTTGAGTATAGAAATGCTGGAGAAAAGGTTACGGCTGGAATGAGGAAGGGAGGGAGTGAGTTGAAAAGAAAAAGCGTTTTCAACAATAGTCGACACTGATAGATGATGGCCTTTAAATAAGGAAAGCCCTGTAGATCCTTCAGCCTCACTTGCCGACTTAGGTGGGAGACACCGTACTGATTGGTAGCCCCAAGTATGCAGAATATGCCTCGCCAGGGCACATAGCCTCATGGCGATTCAGTATCCTATGTTATGCCTTAGCTACTTGATGGTGTCTTAGTAAGTCATCTATCCAAGACATATTCTCATGGCTCTACGCTGAGCCTTATCGATTCACCCATAATCTACATGGTGTTGTAAAGCGAAAGCGGCATCCATAAATCAACAAGCTCTCAAGGTTCCAGAAGACAGCCTCCTTTAATGAACTTCAAGGCCGCACCATACCGTTCGAGCATAAGCCAATTGGCTGCCAGAGCTAGCCCGATACAAGGTGGCAAGGATGAGCTTGGTACCTAGGCTGATATCTGCCAAGACAAATGAGACAGTGAATAAATATGTTGACAGCCGTGATTTCCGCCCTGGGTTAGTGGATAACATTATTAGACGCATCGCCCGGTACTTCATGTACATGTACAGACAGCCTCGTTACCAGAATCCTTGCGAACTCAAGCGAACTTTGACCAATGCAAAAAAAGATAGGTTAATAATAATCGCTACCAAATTCACTGCATTCAAGGATGAGAAGAGGAAGGAACGGAGTGTACATAAAGGTTGATAGATCAGTGCTAATGATTCCATTAATGGCATTGGCATTGGGGGATTACACTAATACCTATATCTTGGTCGATTAAGGCGAAGCTATCTTCCTATTGAGTTGAGAATATTATCTTTATTGGGTCCATTCCAAGCATCACAGTATCGTAACCACGAGTCTACCTTATTGTGTGCCCGGCGGATGGATGGCTGCTTACTACACTTACCTGGTACGGCTTGCTACGTACGCAGGGATGCACGGGCTCATTCTGTCATAAGACGCTCCTCCAATCCGGTCTTCACTGCTTCCAGCCAAATACTCGCTATCACATGTACCCCTCACCCACCCCTTGTCGTGCTCTCATCGCCCGAGAATCCTTTGGTTTGGATTTGTTCGGTCATGATGGTGCACCAATACGTGGCACTATTTCAGTGCTTTCCTTTGACTGGTCACATAAATTGCCCAGATGCTAGCGCCGTAAGCAAAGTGGTGATACAGGCTCATACGAAGCATCATGGAATGGCAGTGCCAAAGGATCCCAGGGTTTGGCCGGTGGATAATTGGGCATTTGGTGGGCTCAGGCTGACTGGCTCCTTGGCATCAGCCTCGTTCACAACAGCAGAGACTACCAAGTGAAAGGACTGACCCATCAGACTGTACATAATGATCAAGACCTAGCGCCAGAAGAAACTGAATAGCCGTCTCTTTTCACTGTCTGCAAGGCTCCAGCAGCAGTGCAGATGATCTTTGCCGGGCATAATCCATGCTTGCCAGACCTTTGCTAGGAACACTAGAACCGCCTTCTTGAAGGGAGGATGTTATGCATCAAAGACTCGTTCGAATCGCTCCCTAGCCTTGGTTGGCAAGTATCCCAGTCGAGCTGATAGACCATCACCACTTCAGATGGAACCATCCACACGGCACTCCCATTGCGACTATACAGTCGGGTGGATATCCGCTCTCCCGCTTGAGATGGCTGTGGCGGAGGTAATTCTAGATGAGACACACCATGCTTTGGCAGTTCCTGCACATGACAAAAATTCCTATACACTAGGTGAGATCGCGGGCCACAACGTAGTGATAGCCTGTTTGCCAAGTGGGCAATATGGGACTACATCGGCAGCAGTAGTGGCACAACAAATGTTGTCAACCTTCCCCTGTATTCGCTTCGGCCTCCTCATTGGAATTGCCGGTGGAATACCGAGCGAAAATGCAGATATTAGGCTTGGGGATGTTGTGGTTAGTACGCCAACGACGACTCATGCGGGAGTCGTGCAATATGACTACGGAAAAGCCTACCCGGAACACTTCCAGAGAACTGGAATGCTGAACAAGCCACCCGAAATCTTATTGACTGCAGTTTCAAAGTTACGTTCAAAGCATCTTCGTGAGAAAGGCATGATCCAACAGTTCCTGTCACAAATGATCGAGAAAAATCCCCACATGAGCCAAGAGTTTGGATTTGGCGGAAGGCAAGACCACTTGTTCCGAGCAGACTACCGCCATCTAGAATCAGAGGCGACATGTGATAAATGCGATAGATCGCAACTCGTTCCCCGAAAGCAGCGCACAAGCAATTTGCCGAAAATTCACTATGGGCTTATTGCTTCGGCGAATCAAGTGATGAAGGATGCAGCCTCTCGAGACAAGCTTGGTCGTGAATTAGGAGCGTACTGCGTGGACATGGAAGCTGCCGGATTGATGGACCACTTTCCATGTCTGGTCGTCCGAGGAATCTGCGACTATGCGGATTCTCACAAGAACAAAGAATGGCAAGGTTATGCAGCAGCTACCGCTGCTGCATATACCAAGGAGCTGTTGATGGGGATCCCGGAGGAAGAAGCAATTCAAAAGTGTGAGGGCTCTCTCAAAGATACATATCTCCCTCGTATAGGCTCTGAGCATCACGAATTGCTTCGCACAGAGGGTGCTTATATCAGCTCCGCAACAGGCAGTGAAGGGCAAATGATAAATCCAGTGGCACCTCAAGAAACAGGACAGATTTTTCTTCAGCCTACTTCAACCAGACATTCACAAGCTTTCAGTGCATCTTCCAGGTTGTCACCATGTGATCCAACTTGTGGTTGCATCTGTCACAAAATCCGAACCCGAAGGACTTGGGGGATTCTTCGTCCTTTGCAGAAGTGGGTCGGCCGTCTCTACATTGTCACCTCAAGATCCCCGGACACTTCATACTGCCAATACCATTGTCGGAATGGCGGACAACGGATCGTCGAGATTCACTATTCGTGTCCAGATTGGTTCTGGCAGGCGACTATACACGCTTTGCTTAGAAAATCCCCGCTTGGAAGTCCTTCATTCGGGCTCGCTTTCAGACGACGAGTTGGATACTGGGAAGAACACAGTATTACCCGTCTGGTAGATGAGCGCGATATAATCACGATGCAAACACTGCTAGGTCAGGGAAAGATCTTCATCGATGACCTAGAGCCGGAACACGGTGGTACCGCGCTTCAACGAGCAATCCAATTACAAGATATAGATCTCATAGAGTTCTTGATCCATCAAGGCGCGGATCCCGATATTGCCGATGATCTGGGCACATCTGCACGGGATGAGGCCACCTTTTCTTTCCTCGCATGCAGCCATAACGAGATATATTGGGAATGGCACGAAAATCGACTGCAGAGCATCATCTCGATTGGCTCGCATCTTGATGAATGGAACCTCTCCTATCTTCATAAAATTATTCTCAAGATTCACCTCACCGACCTTCGGGAGGCCCTCCAGGATAGAACGATTTACTCGCAGCTGGAGAGCCAAGATCAGCAAGGACGAACTCCTCTTCATTGGGCTGCCATCCGAGCCGACGCGGATGCTGTCCGAATTTTAATCAATGCAAAGGCCAACGTCAACACCAGGGACAACTATCATAAAACACCTCTCCATTTCGCATCCGAGACATCAAGCTTTGAATGCTTTGAGCTTCTCCTTAAAGCCAAGTCGTGCCCAACCGCCCGCACTCTCATTGGAGAGGAGCCAATCCACAAGATATGCCGAAGCCAGGCAGATCCGATTTTCTTAATAAAGCTCCTGGAGTTCGATGTTGACGTGAACTCACGAGCAGGTGAAATTGATGGGGTCACTCCTGTGACATCAGCAATTAGTGGATGTCGGCCTGGTATTCTCGACGAGCTCATCAGGCAAAATGCAGATTTATCAATGGCTGATCGGGAGGGCGACACGGCCTTATTTGAGGCGGTGGCGTGTGATTCGAGTGAATGCTTGAAGGTTCTCCTACAAAATCAGGCGCCAGCAAACATCTTGCATGTCAACAAGCGAGGCATGACGGTTCTCCATATGGCGGCGTTGTATCCAAGTTTGGAGATTTTGGAGATTCTCGCTGACGCAGACTTATATGGACTTGACCCAGATGCCAAGGACAACGAGGGTTGTACGGCACAAGACCGATTCTCCGCTAATGCTTGCGGTGATTTGCGAAAAGCATTTGACAAAGTCCTTGGAAATCTCCATAGTGCAATGCATGCTGTGGATGATTCAGCCCAGGGCAACAGGGATCAGTTTCCTGACTGTGATGACTAATGGTGGCATGATCAGGACAATTATGAGCTTCCTAATGAGCTTGCTAATGAGAACTTGTTCTAAAGTTTGGTTAGAGTTGCATAGATGAACTGCTAAAATCGAATCCAAACCTCACTGATCTTACTCCGTACAGTGGTGAGGGTTCGGTGCCTAGCCCAGGGAACTGCACTGGGTGGGGTTTCCCTACCCCTAAGCCTGAATCTATACAGTGAAAACTGTTGATTATGGTTTTTACCGATTTATCAGATTAGGGCTGGCCTCAGTGAGGAATTCTTCTCCTCTCTCAGTCATGGAGAGAAATACGTACCCCGGGTTTACCGACTGCCGTGGCTTCGGCTGTGTAGATGTATTGACCGTCGTCAATGGTGGTGAGGGCCACGCTCTCTCGTTTGATCCAGGCGATAATTGCTGCTACCAATGCCCGTACGCCCTCCGCGCGAGTCCTCGGGGTAGCATTCAGGCGTCCTGTGCTGGAGATTTTGCGATATGGATGTCCGACAAAGTATGCACCTACCAGCACGTTCGCACTTCCCCCACTGGTTGCTGACATGGATAGACCCTGCGCGCAATGGACATGGGCTGCAGGAGGCACAGGCAAGCAGGAGCGTGGAGCAAGTTCACAGAACCGTAAACTGAGAATGTCATCAGTACTGTGGATATTTTCGATTCACTACATTGTTGCAGGTAGCGGGGACTTGCGACGACTGAATAGCATAACATACCAGGTGGCACCGATCTGGAGAATCGAATCAGCTTCAATAAGCGTTGTGTTAGACTGGACCAGAATGAGCATCTCAAACAAGATGGCCAGCTACTTTGCAAAGGTACATGCAATGGTCATACGATGACTAGATGCAGCGTGGAGAGGCCTATCCCAGTAAGCAGCACTCGACCGCTGGATGTACTGCTTTAAGGCTGAGACTGTATGATCGACAGTCGGAAACAACCTTATTTGGGCTGAATTAGGAGTAAGGGCTAATAGAAGGTATTTAGTGGCCAAGCCACTTAGACTAGACAAATGAGCGATAAACTTGACATTGACACATTTGACAATGCTGAGCATGGACTCGATCTCAACATGGCCAATCAACCGATAGACAGGGATCGTACTCGTATATCCCTCATAGTAAGCAAGTGTCATCGGTTCAAAGAGGAATAGTAATAATACTAAGGGCTGCTCAGAAACAGTCAGATTGGCTATGTTTTTAAAGGCGTTCTTAGCGGCCTATCAGACCCTGAACTATTTGGCCACTTAAACTCAAGTTTCACAATTTCCTTCAGGGGCGAATGAAATTAATGTATCTATTAATGTATCTACCTATTAATGCACCTCCATTAATATCTGTAAATAGAACGGATGTCTTTCTTCCACCACTCCATGTGACGTGCCTTTTCCTTCTTCTGTCATTCTTTCTGTCATCATCCACTTTCAACCTGGAGTTCCAGCATTCGATCGCAACAACCTTAATCTTGATTAATTTTATTATACTCTGTCGCTCTCAATGAAGTCATCGCTCTTTTGTTAATCAGTAATGAATTTACTATCGCTCGTTTTCGGCTTTCTAGCCCTCCTCCGGCTCTTCCTCCCCGCCTCGGCCACCCGACTCATCGAATCCAACGCCCTGAATATCTGTCAAGACAGCTCGAATTTCACGGCAACCTATTTCAATGTCCTCTTTACTCCAGATAATCGCACTTTGGTCTTCAGTTTCGATGGCGTAGCCTCCATCTCCGGCAAAGTCACCGCCGACCTCATCCTGTACGTCTACGGATATGCGATTCCCCAGAAGACGCTCGATCCGTGCAAGACGGACAAGATGAAGGGATTCTGTCCGATGAATGCGGGTCCAATCGATGTTCCGACCGCCTCGATCCAGGTCGGGAAGGATGTTGTCGATCAGATTCCCGGTTAGTCCCTTTCCACCCCTCCATCCAGCTCGTCTCATGCGTGTACGGGGTAGGCATCGCGTATACCGTTCCTGACCTTGACGCCACTGTCCGGATCTACGTCAACTCCAGCGCAACAGGCCAAAGCATCACCTGCGTCGAGGCGCGCCTCTCCAACGACAAGACCGTCTACCAGGCCGGAGTCGGCTGGACCACGGCCATCATCTCGGGCCTGGGGCTGGCCGCGTCGGCATTCACCTCGACACTGGGCCATTCGAACGCGGCGGCCCATCTCGCCGGCAACACCCTTGCGCTGTTCAGCTTCGTGCAGGCGCAGGCCATGGTCGGGATGCTGGCGGTGCACATGCCGCCGATCGTGCAGTCGTGGACGCAGAACTTCCAGTGGAGCATGGGGGTGATCAAGGTCGGGGCGGTGCAGAAGATCGGAACGTGGTACCAGCGCGCGACCGGGGGTACGCCGTCGACGCTGCTGATGCGGCTGTCGACTACGTCGGTGAATGTGCTGAAGAAACGGAAGCGCGATGTGGCTGAGAGCTCGACGAACGTGATCGTCCGCGGTATCAAGCGCGTGGGGCTCAAGGCTGCGATCGAAGATACGAACCTGTTCCTGACTAGCATTATCATCTTCACCTTCTTTGCCATGGTGGTTATGATTATCGTCCTCCTTTTGAAAGTGGTCAGTGCCGCGCTGGCAAAAAAGGGACGAACGGGGCCCGCATGGGGGTTCTTCCTCGCGGAATGGGACGTCGTGGCCCGCGGGGTTCTATATCGGCTTGTCTTCATCGGGTTCGCGCCGTTGAGCATCTTCTGCCTCTGGGAATTCACGCAGCAAGACTCGCCGGCGGAGATCGTGGTGGCGGCCTTCATCCTAGCCTCGATCATCGGGGCGCTAGTCTGGGCCGCCGTCAAGATCATCCTGCTCATGCGGAAATCGATCTCGATGCACCGCAATCCGGCCTACGTTCTATACTCGGACACCACCTGCCTCAACCGCTGGGGCTTCCTGTACGTGCAGTACCGCGCCACCGCCGCCAGCTTCATCCTGGTCATGATCGGCTACCTCTTCGTCAAAGCGCTGTTCATCAGCCTGGGGCAGTCGGTGCCGATCGTGCAGACGGTGGCGCTGCTGGTCATCGAGGGCCTGATGCTGATCGGGGTGAGCGTCGTGCGCCCGTGGATGGACAAGCGCACCAACACGTACAACATCGCCATCGCTGCGGTGAACTTCCTCAACGCGATTTTTGTCCTGTTTTTCTCCGGAGTGTTTGACCAGCCGGGCATCGTCTCCGGGGTCATGGGCGTGTGCTTCTTCGTGATCAATGCGGCGCTAACCCTAGTTCTGATCTTGTTGGTGATCTACGCGTCGGTCATGGCGGTCATCTCCAAGAGCCCGGACACGCACTACAAGCCTATGCAGGATGATCGCGGCTCGTTCATCCAGTCCAAGGTGCGTCTGGAGTCGGAGCTGGATGAGCTGGCCGCCGCGGCTAGGGGAGACATGCATGAAATCAAGTCTTAATTGTCTATTTGTATATACATGATAACTTACAAGATCAATGAGGACTGTCCTCGTTTGAGTCAAAATGCTCGCGAGCCCACGGACTCCGCAGCCGGATCGCCCGGCCCATGTAGAAAAACACAAACGGGATCGGCACGAGGAGGATCGCGAGGAAGCCCAACAGGCTGGACGCCCACTCGTAGCCCAGCCGCTGATACATCTGGCTCGCGAACAGGGGGAACCCGGCGCCCACCACGTTCCGCACGAGGATGACCCCCGCCAGTGCCGAGGCCGAGTACGTCTGGTAGCTATCCACCACGTAGTTGAGAATACTCAGGATGACGATGTAGATGCCCGCGCCGAAGAATGAGGACGCGACTATAGGCACGATCCAATGCACCGAGCGGTAGCTCGTCCAGCCGAACCAGAACAGACTGATAGGGATCAGGAGCGCGCCCCACCGCGCCATCCACATCCGCGCCTCAGGCTCCCCCTTGCCTCCGTTGGCGGCTACGCGGCCCAGGTAGTATCGTTCCTGTAGCGGGTAGAGGCAAAACGCGACGATGGGCCCGATGGCCATGCCGAGAAAGCTAAGGCCCTGCTGGCCGCCGTTGAAGCCATGGCCGGTGCCGGGGCCGAAGACGAGCGGGAAGGCCTCGTTGAAGAGGTAGACCAGTCCATACAAGAAGCCGTTGTAGACGGCGGAGAAGAGCGTAATGGGCTCGGTGAAGAGGAACCTGAACGGCCGGGTGAGGGTGATGGCAAAGAGCGTGTGCAGGCCCTTGCGGGCGTGCGCGTGGAGGTCACTTGTTGTGGCGGCCGACGCCAGCTTCTCCTGCGCCATCTGCTTGCGGACGCGCGCGGCCTTGCGCTGCAGGATGATGCTGTGCCGGGTTTCGGGGATGGTGAAGACGAGCAGCACCCAGAAGCCGCCGGTAATGGCCATCAACACCCAGAAGATCCACCGCCAGCCCGCGTTGAGGCCGATGTACCCGCTCATGACCAGGGCGGTCGGGGGCCCAAAGGTACTGCTGAGGCCGTAGACCGCCATCGGACCGCCGCTGCTGTTGCGCTCCCAGAGATCGCTGATGGAGCCGCCGGTGTTGGTCAGAGGCGCGCCGCCTGCACAGCCAGCGATGAAGCGGCAGACGATGATGGTGCCGATGTTGGGGGCCAGGGCGAGGGGCAGCTGGAAGATGAAGAGGAGGAACCACGAGACGACGTAGACGGGTTGTCGACCAAAGTACTCGGATAGGGGTGCTAGCAGAACGGGACCGATGGCGAAGCCTAGCACGTACAGCGAGAGACAGAGCGTGGTGACTTCAGAGGAGACATGGAACTCTTCGGCGATGCCGGTGGCTCCTGACGAGATGCCCCCAGCGCACCAGCAGCTGGCTTTTCGTCAGCCAAGTTATGCAGAATGGATGAGGAGACGCACGTGAGCACATTGAGCATACTGACGAAGAAGGTAATGTACCATTTTCGCAGTTTGCCCCAGTTACGGGGATTATCGCGGTCGTCATGGGCGAACGCTATACAGATCGGTAGAGCCTTGTCCGGGGAATGCCTGGCCCGAGCAAGGGCTTGCTCTTCAGAGAGGACCAGCGTCAGATTCTCGCTGTGGGCATCTTCAACTTTCTGTAGAGTGGCATCGAAGCCGACTTGGCCTTCACCTGACGCCATTGAATATTGCGATCGTGCTGTCAAGTCAGACTGAGGGAGATACTGCTATAAGGGATCGGGAAGTATACTCAAATAGCTTCGGCCAGACGACGTCTCCAAATGTAATGTCCAAAGATAATTAATGTAAATGCGGGATACAGTTACTGCTGACCGGACGAGAACTGGGCATTCCTGTTCTCCAGCACTGGGAATCCCCGACTTATCGGCACATCATTGCCACTGACGCGCCGGGGATCCCACAACAGGCTTTGTCAAGCTTTGAAGGCATTGCTTGGTTGGCTTTGGTTGGAGTAGATGAATTAACAGGCCCACTACAGTCATTCTGGTCGACTCGGTCGAGACACGAAGGCGAATCATTGGAGGGGAAATTGCGATGATGCAAGCTCGGTCCGCACGGAGATAACGAAGCTTAATATTAACAGTCCGATGGCCAGCGAATTGAGCGAAAGAGAGTGACATTTCTACCCGGGTTGTCCATTTCTTTTATTATGACATTGATTTGCCGATGCCGGATATGCATCAGCAGTGTTCAGAACGTAACTACTGTACAACACTGGAAGTTGTACAGGACGAAGATCTTTCCCAGTACCGCCGACTATTGTCAATCACCTTCTTCCCCCGGCCCTCTTCGGTCAATGGACATCTCTCGGCACGGCGTATCAACGTCAAATTCTCGGATTTCCTCCCCGCGACTTCCATAACGCCTTCTCCGAGACCAAGTATACCAGCCGGCCGATGTTGGCGACGTTCCAGGCTGATACTATTGTGGTGTTGGCCAGTATTCCTGGTCGTAGCAATGGCAATGCTGCCAGCTCGCTTTGGCGTGCCGTACCTAAGAGAGGAAGGGAGGACACGAGCGTGGTGATGTTTGCTGTCTAGTAACAGAGCGACAAGGGCCGTTTGTGGTGGACGTCTTGGGCAGACTGCCGCGATAGACAGTCTGCCGCGCTGTTAGGGAGTTGTCTGTCAGTAGGAGTATCATTCTGTCTTGTAGGACATTCTTCTGACATCAGATCAGACATGCATTAAGCAGCGGGTATTGGCATGGAGATGCTGATGAGCGTTATGTCGGCAGTGGCTGATCAAGAGGAACCAGTATATAAGAGATGGAACGCATCACAAGCCATAAACGCAATGCTGGAATCAATAAGAGAAGCCCATCTTTTGAATAGAACTCGTGGGAGGATGTCCTCGTCGACAGTTGTATTGACATTTCGATATGAAGAGTTGCATAATGTGTACACGATGCTCATGTCGATGAGAGTAGCTTATATTTTTGAAACTCTATCACTAAAGAGGATCTATAGAACTTGTGCTACAGTCTCTACGTCAAGCTATATAACGTAATCTGCGTAAGAGCATTGACAATGGCACCCATTGTGGGCTACATTCATCGGGATGCCATTACACTACTACACACTTACAAAGACAACAGCCTATCATCTTGTCATCGTTCATTAGGGCATGGCTCTCGCAAGATCATATTAGATTAGATACAACGGGAGACGAAGATTGTCGAGGTTCAAGTATCCATCATCCTTAAAGGGCAGTCAGCTCCGAGTGGACCACGTTCCTAACCACTACTGACTACAGAGAGCTTGTTCTCAAGTACATCTCTGCATCTGATACTGCACAGACGGTGCATCTCGGCAGTTGACCGGATAAAGGCGGTTCTTGACGCTCATGGCAGGCATGTCTTGTTTGATCAGATGCTACGGAGAGTCATTCCGAGGCAGATCAGGCAACCCATCCATCTCCGTTATAACAACCACTTACCGCTCGTATTAATCACTCAACTAACATATCGAAGGATTCAATCGAGTCATGTGGCCATCTGCATACGTTCTATATACTGGAGATGACGATATTGCCGGCTATCGACTCTTCGCAACACTTACCCGACTGACTCTAATTTGAGCCCAACTGGACTTTTACCCCAATCATAGCGTTCTTCTCAAGAATGGGCTTGCTGATCTGTGAAACAGGTCTGGCGCCGAGATGCAAGAACGGGGTGGCAAGTCACACAAGCAGGCGCTCCGTCGCTTAACTCCCGATATAGTGTGTCGTCTGAGGTTACATCTGACCGAGTCTAGACCAAACACGCCATAGCTAAGATTATTTCTCACCAATCGCAGGTCTCCCGCAATTCGCCATGGAGTAATGAGATTGTCTCTGCCCGGGGAAGTGTGGGGTAAGCAGGGGGTGATTGGAAGGATTCATCTACGCATGCTGACGGTGGCTTGGGTCAATATAACTTCATGCCTAGGTGTTGCGACTCACCCATGTGAATACACTCCTCTGGGTCGGAGTCTGCAGGCATTACAGAGATGCGATCCCTCAGACTCAACGCGTGCTGCCTCAATTGGTGGACTTGCAACATCCAGATGAGAGCTCTTCATACCGAGGATCTGCTCACTGTCTCATGATGATGGTCTTCGAGAGCAGAAGTCACGGCCGAAAAACTATATAAAGCCCATCGACACCGGGATATCCATGCCATCACCATCATCACCATCACTCAAACAAACAGACAAAACTCAGCAAGATGCAATTCAAACTCTCTACTGCCGTGCTCGCCACCCTCATCGGCGTGGCCATCTCGGGCCCCCTCGTTGCCCGCAGCGCTGCCACCATCCTCAGTGACCTAAAGACCATCGACAACGACATCAACACCCTCACCAAGAACTTCAACGCCTTCACCGGCGACCTGGCCCAGGCACTAGCCACCCAGGTCGTCGAGCAGCAGCTGGAGAGCGACATCGACAAGGCCACGTCCGACACCAAGGCCACCTCGGCCTTGTCGGCCGCTGACAGCACTAGCGTCACCAACGCTCTTCTGGGCCTGAAGCCTGATATCGTTACTTCGCTGAATGCGATTGTTGCCAAGGTGTGTCCTCTCTTTTCCGAAGGTTGTATGCGACGAGACTAAGTGTGTAGAAACCCCAAGTCAACTCCGCCGGCGTGGGCAGTCTCGTCCTCTCGGACCTGCAGGCCCTGAAGACCAAGACGGATGCCCTCTCGGGTGCTGTCCAGGCTATTGCCACTGCGACTGACAAGACGACTATTGCCACTGGTACCAAGGACATTGATGCTGCGTTTGCTAGCGCCATTGCTGTCTTCTCCTCTTGATTTAAAGTTGGGAAGACGACTGTAGCTAGTGTGCGGAGTACATAGTGATGACAATGAGATGTTCAGTATGACATGATATCTGTCTTGCATAAACTGGTCAGGGGACAAGGCTATATCTTCCTGTCGCTTGTAGTCCCAGCACCATTGAAAACTAAGCATACTCGTCTTCAAAAGTGTAGGATAGACTCACGGCCCAAGCAAGGTTAGGG